TAAAATGCTGGCAATATCAACAACTTCAGAAGTTCTGTAGAAAATAGGAAAAAGGGAAACAAAATTCAGTTGTACTATGAACAGTAAACTCAGCTGAGCATCAACCAGAATGTTGCTCAGTGAGGAGGCACTGAAGTAAAGGCAAGGATGAGGAAGGGAGCTACATGTGCAGAATGAGGAGATGCTTTATGACTTCTAAAAGCCAGCAGGCACCATAGAAGGAAGCAAGGCAAGTTGCACTTCAACAGAGCAGAGATGAGCATTGAGGAGCTGTCAAAGTTGACATAATAATACTTCATTAAGGCCCGTGGAAAAAAAGATGATATGAAGGGTGATTTAAGTAATGCTACCCTGAAGGAAAACTAAAATCAAGCACAAGCTATGCATCCAAACATCTCTCCAAAGCAAGGGGGAAGAGGTACACACCTGTTTTGCAAGTAGGTTACTCTCAGCATTACGTGGAATCACAGTCTTTATGGTGCCTATAAGTAATTCCTTGTGCCACAGCCCGTTGGCCTTGGTGAACTAAAGCTATTTATATTTTATATATTAAACTAAAGTTCAGAAGCTACCTAAAGAAAATATCACCTTTTCCCAGTGTGTTGATCTTTCTGTGCACAGCCACTAAGTGTTTGTCTTATGTGACTTATGTCTCTACCTCAAAATATTTATGGCATCCTTTTGCCAGAATCAGAACAGAGAGTTGCAAAGCAGCATCCCTGAAGTTGAGCTTTGGTTTTGTGAACACATCAGTCTGTTTATCAGTCTACAGGGGTTTTTGTGTTGCAAAAGAACAGGCCCTTTATCTTCTCTTTTCCTGCCCCAGAGATGAGAAAAATAAAAATAAAAAGACAAAAAGAAGAACAATGCAGTTGGATTGGTTTATTTGCAGTCGCCTGTTCCTTAAGAGAAGTTATTTCTTCTAAAATGTACAGCCCCAAAGGTGATGTCATTTATCTGTAATAAATATTGACAAAGAAAGGGAATGGGTATATATATACAACCCTAGCGTGAGGAGAGCCTCTAACTTCCACCACTCTTCCCAAGCAACAGAAGTATCTCCAGAAAAAGGTAATGTACAAAGAATTCAATTTCAGTATTAGAAATTGTTATCCGCAGTTACGTGGTCAGCATTAGTTGGGCATTGTGTTACGAAGGCTAGTGTAGTTAATAGCTAAGTTTTACCAGACCTGGTAATTAAAAGAAAATGTCTCCTTGTATTTATCACAGAGGCAGAGTTTTAAAAAAATGAATTATATTTTCTGCTTTGAAAGCACAGCTTCCACCTGTCTGGGTGAGAAATCTCTGAAGTCTAAATCATGGTCTTTTAGTTCAAAAGGTGCTCTTCAGATAAATCAACCCATTTTGCACTGAATTGTGGTCAATAACAAGAAATACATTTCTATTTAATGACTGCTATTTAAAATTTATTTCTCTGGAGTATGGGGAAATACCAGTAGTACATCTGATATTTCTTCAAGGCAGAACTTCTTGATTGTCAGAACGGCAAAGCACTGGCACAAGCAGCCCAGAGAGATGGTAAAATCTCCTTCTATGGAGATACTCGAGACTCATCTGGACGCTGACCTGTGCAATCTAATGTAGAGAACTGCTTTAGCAGAGGGGTAGGACTCAGTGATCTCTTGAGTCCCTTCAATTCTGTGCTTCTTTGGTGTGCCTTCAAAATGTTGCCATCTAGAGATGTCAAGTACTTGTCCAAACTTTCAGGTATATGCCATTTTAAAATATCTTTTATATATTCTAGTACACAGTAAGCTGATTGTGTCTTCTTAATGCAGAATGAAAATTTTGTTACAGAATACATTTGTATTTATTTACAATTTGATCAAAGTTAATTTGATCAAAGCTGCATTAAATGAAGAGAGGTTTCAAACAGAGCTACCTAAAAGCGTGTTGCTGTGATCTGTCTTTTTGTAAACTTTATATGATTTACCTGATTGAATACTGTTGACACAGGAGGGTAACAATATGTGGGAATGGTCATCTTCTAACTTTGAAAAAAATGCCAAATAAATTTATTCCAAGGAATCTTTATGAGGTTGAAAGGAAAAGAGGGAATGGTCTTAAAGTGAGACAGGGGAGGTTTAGGTTGGATATGAGGAGGAAGTTTTTCCCCCAGAGGGTGGTGAGGCACTGGCACAGGTTGCCCAAGGAGGCTGTGGATGCCCCATCCCTGCAGGCATTCAAGGCCAGGCTGGATGTGGCTCTGGGCAGCCTGGGCTGCTGGTTGGCGACCTGCACACAGCAGGGGGTTGGAACTGGAGGAGCGCTGTGGGCCTTTGCAACCCAGGCTGTTCTGTGATTCTATGATTTGGTTGACATCTGACAATTGAAGAAGTGCAGCAGTATTTTAGTCTGCTTTAATTCTGAATCTAGACATGTTTTGTGTTTCTAGACATGTTTTTGGAGTTACAGAAAGATCCTCTTCCTATGTGTAACTGGAGGAAGAGTCAGACAACAACTCAGCAGACAAAAATATCCCTCAGGTTTAGGATTTACTCTTCATTAACATGAGTGAGAGCCTTGTCTCTACTTCTGACTTTTATCTTATGCAAGCCTGAGAACGCAAATACCTGAACGGCATGAAGTCTGTAGTGTGATAGGTTGTGTTGCTGATTTGTATCATGTGACAGAGTACAGTACTGAAATACATCATCATTCTCTGTGCAAGCTATCTACCATCAGGAATGTTCCGTTACTAGACCTTGTTCTCTGGGTATTTTCATAGGCTGAATCAACCTCATAAGGTTTCTTAGCCTAATCACAGGGCCATCATAATGTAACTATGGAGCCCATTGGATTCAAACTCATATCTGCATGGCACTGCTGGGGTGCCATTTTTGTTGTTATCCATTTGGGAGTGGATACATGCAGCAAAAAATACAGCAGAATAACCCAACAGTCTGTGCAGCTATTGGTCTGAACTCAGACCTCTTCTACCTGTGATGTCACATGTAAATGAAAAGGTAATTGTGTTGTCCCTTTTCTTTTTTGGCATAGTTTCACCACAGGTAGAAGCTCTGTATAGCCAAGCAAAATTCAAGAAAGGTTCTCTTGTTCTAACAGTGGCTTGATTGCCATTTTCTGATATAGTGACCCACACCTTATGTTTGTTCATACATTTCCTGTGAATATTAGCAGTAAGATCTCTCGGATAGATGTAAAAATCACAAGGTACATTTATGTGCTGTGATTGAGTGAGGTCCAGTGCCAGTGGAATGTCTTTCCTATGTTTTAAACTGATGTGGATTAGTCATAAAATGTGAACGTGAAGTGGTCTCACACACAAAGAACGACTTCATGTATTCCAGTCTTCCAGTCAGTCTTTCCCAGACTCACTGTCCAGGGCCGAATTTTGCTTAGAGATTGAACTGCAAACGAGGATTAAAAATGGACCTGTTTGTGCCTCATTAGAGACCTGAGTGCTGCTCTTGAAGATGAAATTTGATGTGCCTTGTATAAAAGCAAGAGTTTTATCAAAGCATCTGGGAAAAAAACTAACATACTTTCTGTGTACATACAGCTGTCATTATTCTTCATTATTATTCCAATAATAAAAAGAAATTTCTGACACTGCATGTGTAGATCAGACTCACCATGGAGGACTAAATAGCAAGTAAATCCACTGCCTTCAATACTATACACCCAGCATAAATGAGAGGGAAACCACATCACAAATTCAGACAGTTTCAGATATTAAACAATAAACAGGATATTAATAACATTGTAAATGCTGTCTCTTCCAAGTTGTCATTCTAGTTCCTAACTAACTGAAAGGAGAATTAAGTGTTTTTCCAGGACCCATTAACCTGCAATTAATTCTTTGAAATGTGGACACATCTTTCAGGTCTTACCAGAACTAAAAGCCCTCTGCAGCCTTTCTTCACTCCTTCAGCTCACCTAGCATAAACACATTTATTATAGTTATCACCCAGCACAGATTGAATGGTGGATTTTTTATATTGTCACCCTATATTCATGGTTTTAACAGCTGTACCAATAGTTTTCTTGGCAGCTAGGATTTGCTAGATCTCTACCAATGACATGTAATGCTCACATTGTGGATTTTTTCTGAGTCTTGCTCTAAGTTTTATAATGTTCAACCAGTTCCATTGCTTCTCTTTTCCTCCTTTGCTTCAGTCTGTTTTAGGACAACTTGTTAAGCTCAAAGTCACTTTCATTCAGGATCTTGCCACATCTTCAATCTTTAGAAAGAGATAATTTATTCTCCCTCATCTATAGGATAAAACATTTAATATTTGCTTTCCTTCTGTTGTAGAATAAATATTCCATGAATTTGACTGATCTAGAGACTATTTACGTACTGTGCTATTACCTTCTATAAAGAGTATTTTCAACTAATAACCAAGTGCATTATCTGAATATTTTGTTAATGCATTTGTTCAGATGGGAATGAACACCTCCATTTTATTGCATGATTATGATGCAGACTTCACAAAGAAACAGGGAACAGAAAAGAAGCAGAAGCACCTCTTTATGCACTGAAACAAAGCTCCACTCCAGAATACCACCTTTCAGTATGGATGAAGGTTTCTTGAGCAAAACATTGCCATGACCCTGCTGTACACATTAATGAATTTTATTTTTTTATATATGAGGAGGCAAAGAATAAAGAAATAATGCAGATTTGGGATATACTGAGTAAAGAAATCAAGAGGAGTTTGATCTCTCTCTGAAAAGAAACTCGCAGCTTTCTGGTACTGGTGGTCTCTGTCTCAATACAAGGTGAAGTTGTCTCTCTGTAAGAGACAGTGGTGTCCATGCATCATCATATACTCATTTGTGCAGACTCAGCATATGCAACCGTATTTGGTAATGACTAAAATAATCTCCTATGTGCCATGCTTCATACCGCAATGCTTTCTCATCCTGCTTACATTCCACAGAACACCACAAAGTTTGTGCAATAGAGATTAACAGATTTTTGTTGTTTCTTTGCCTGCTTTTCCTCCACAGAAATGGGTCCTCTCACTGCAATCATTTGCCTGGCTGCTTTGATACACCAAACTGATGGACAGGTAGGACCTGTCCTATCGAACGGACTGGTTCCAGGAAGGGTAAGCCTGCACTGGGGAAGGGATCTAAAGCAAAATAAGGCTGACAAAAAGCTCTTTGGGGGGGCTTTTTGAAGCCAGCTAAAGTCGGCAGACTAACCATGAGCTAGCTGCTATTACTGAAACATGGTGGGACCACTCTCATGACTGGAGTGCTGTGATGGATGGCTACAAGCTCTTCAGAAGGGATAAACAAGGAAGGAAGGGTGGTGGTGTGGCTCTTTATATTAAATAGCATTTTGATGATGAAGAGCTTGGGGTTGGAAACGATAAAGTTGAGTGCCTATGGATAAGGATCAGGGGAAGGCCTGTAGGGGTGATATCTTGATGGGAGTCTGTTATAGACTGCCTATAGACATCAACTTCCCTGATATATGTTGGAAATATAATACAGTGCAGAGGAAGCAGTCCAAGAGGTTTCTAGAACGTATAGAAGATAGCTTCCTTATGCAGCTGGTAGGAGAGCCTACCAGGAGTGGTGCCCTGGTGGACCTGCTCTTGACTAACAGTGAAGGACTGGTGGGAGATGTGAAGGTTGGGGACTGTCTAGGGCAGAATGGCCAAGACAAAATTATAGAGTCATCTACTGTTGGAGATGTCAGAAGAGTGAATAGCAAAACTGCTATCTTGAACTTCCAAAGGGTGGACTTTGACCTGCTCAGGACACTTGTTTCAGGGGTCCCTTGTGTCCTGAAGGGTCCAGGGTTCCAGAAAGCCTGCATGCTGAGATGGAAATCTTAAAGGCACCAGAACAGGGTGTCCCTGAATGCTGCAAGGAGAGCTGCAGGGGGAGAAAACCAGAGTGGATGAACCAGGAATTCTTGTTGAGACTTTGGGAGAAAAAGAGTCCTCTAGAAAAAGGGACAGACTACTTGGGGAGACTACAAAGAAGTAACTAAGATATGCAGGGAGGAAATTAGAAAGGCAAAAGCTCAGAATTGATGAACTCAGAAATGAACTCAGATTGGCCACTGCAGTAAAAGAGAACAAGTTATATATTTTACAAATATATTCACAGTAAGAGAAGAACCAAGGAGAATTTCCATCTTTACTTGATGCAGTGGGGAATGTGACCACTGAGGATAAGGAGAAGGCTGAGGTCCTCAATACCTTCTTTACATCTGCCTTTAATAGGCAGATCAGTTATCCTCAGGGCGCTTTGTGCCCTGATCTGGAAGCCTGGGATGTTATGCAGAATAAACCCCTGGTGATTCAGGTGGAGACAGTTAGAGAGCTACTTCTCCATTTGGGCTGTCACAAGTCCATGGAACCAGACAGGCTCCATCCGAGGGTAGATCATCCCAGCTGATTGGCGGGGCTGATTGCCGAGCCGCTCTCAGCCATCAATCAGCATTGTCTGGAGAGGTCCCAAAGGATTGGAGGCTTGCTGATGTGACTCCAGTCATTCCCAGAAGAGGGAAAGGCTGTTGATGTAGTCTACCTAGACTTCAGCAAAGCCTTTGACACGGTCTCTCACAGTGTTCTGCTGGGGAAACTGGCTGCCTGTGGCCTGGACAGATCTACCCTTCTTTGGGTAAGGAGCTGGCTAGAGAGCCATGACCAGTGGGTAATGGTTAATGGAGTGGAGTCCAGCTGGTGACCCCTTACAAGTGGTGTCCCCCAGGGGTCGGTACTGGGTCCCATCTTGTTTAATATCTTTATTGATGACCTAGATGAGGGCATTGAGGGCACCCTCAGTAAGTTTGCAGATGACACCAAGGTGGGAGGTGGTGTGGATCTGCCTGAGGGTAGGGAGGCCCTTCAGAGGGATCTGGATAAGCTGGACCGCTGGGCTGAGGTGAATGGGATGAGGTTCAACAAGGCCAAGTGTCGGGTTCTGCACTTTGGGCACAACAACCCCATGCAGCGCTTTTTCTCTCAGTGGTCAGGCACTGCGATGGCTGCTCAGGGAGGTGGTGGAGTCACCATTCCTGGCAGTGTTCAAGAGGCATCTGGATAAGGAGCTACGAGATCTGGTTTAGTGCTTGTGGTAGCAATGGTGATGGGAGGACAGTTGAACTCGATGACCCTTGGTCCTTTCAAACCTTGTGATTTTTTTATTCTGTGATTCTATGACCATTTGGTCTAAGCAAAATAGTTGTATCTAAACACATTGTGTAGATAGCTGATGCGGCTGAGTGATCTCTAGAACTTTAAAATACAGAGCTGAAATTATTGTTAGTTAGCACATATTATCACATATAAACATCTCTGTTTCCACAATAAAGATGAATTCTTGTTTTCCTGAGGTTTTTGTGGTAAAATGTTTCTTCTGTCTATCTAAATACTCTCCTTTCTGCAAGAATAATTCTATTACTACTTATTCCAGACAAAATACATGAACTGATAATACTCTAAAATAATTAATCTCAGTGTCAGAAATGCAGTCATCGTTTCTCTAAGAGAGTTAATAGTTTAAGGTATAGATATCCACTACATAGACATTTGGATGTGAGCTATTTATCAAGATCCACTTAATAAGGAGGAAAAAAAAAAAAAAAAAAAGAAAAGGAAATAGGTGTTCCAGGAAAGATGATCACATCTTTCATTAGGATCCATTTCTTTACTGTGAGGGTAAACAGTCCTGGAGTAAGATTCCTAATGAGGTGGTTGATGCCCCATGCCCTGTGTCAGTGTTCCAGAGGCATTTGAATAATGTCCTCAATATTATCCTTCAATTTTTGGTTAACCCTGAAGTTGGACTAGATGATTGTTGTAGGTCTCTTCCAGTGGAAATACTGGTTTGACACTTTCTGAGGTATCTGAGACATTCAAAAGATGCATTACAGGCTTTACAGAGAGCTGTACCTTTTGGAAGAAAATCTGAGACTCCCAGGGTATTTCAAATGATCGTAAGTATTTCAGAAGATGGTCTGCAAAATGCCCTAAAATCTGATTCAGCTTCACATACTTCCAAAGCTTGAAAGTAATAAGAGCCAGGGACTTTTTTAGTGCATACAAGAGGCTAAAGTAAGTCATGACATTTGGTTACAGAGCCAAGCATTCTCCACATTTGATGTGGAGACATCTACAGTTAGAATTACTATCTACTATATTCATTTAGGGTCATGTCTTCTTATGAAAAGTGCAGTTTAAACGAAGGACGAGAGAGGAAAAAAAAAAAAAAGCACATAGAAGAATAGAAGAATCAATAAAGGAAAGCTAAGAATTTCCAAGTTCTCAATCAGTCTTGCTTATAAAAAATCAGAGAACTAGAACCATCATTGCTATTGTTTTCCAGGTGCTTCCTGGCAACCGAGTGAACCAGAACTTCCCTTTTAACATTGGATACCCACGAGGGAAACCCCGTAACCAAAACCTGCCAAAATACAATGGTAATCGGATAAAAACCAAAAAAGTGGTTCAACAAGATCTTGTTGCTCTCAAAAACAAGCAGATGATCCTTCAGGAACACAATGAAATACGAAGGTCTGTAGTTCCAACAGCTAGGAACATGCTGAAGATGGTAAGTGATGGATAGCTAATAAGCTGCTTTCAACATGATTAGCAGAATGTTGTATCCTTCTAAACACTCCACACTCAGTGAATAGAGAGGACAGGAAAGTTACTCTGGAATTGAGATGAAAAAAATCAAAATTATATCCCTTGGTTTCTACAGAACTCATGCTCTAAGCTTGCAAACTAAGATGCTGTAAGCACTTGTAAAGTCATTGCAAAGGTTTCAGAACAGGCCACGGGTGCTATCTGAAAACTCTCTCTTAGCCAGCAAGTCTTGATTTGATAGGATGAGAAGTAATGGGCTTCAATTGTGTCAGGGGAGATTCAGGTTGGATATTAGAAAAAATTTCTTCTCAGAAAGAGTGGTAATGCATTGGCAAAGGCTGCCTGGGGCAGTGGTGGAGTCACTGTCCCTGGAGGGATTCAAGAAAAGGGTGGATGTGGCACTTACTGACATGGTTAGTGGACATGGTGGGAGTGGGTTAATGGTTGGATTGGGTCATCTTAGAGGCCTTTTCCAACTGTGATGATTCTGTGATTTGTGCAGTTAACAAAACTCAAGTCACCTGGCAAAAGTCCCTATGCTTAGGGTCATTTGTTTGGAGATGGTATGAACACAAGTTTGCCCCAGCCGCATCGATTTATTGCTGTCAAACCTGTATTAACTTGGCTAGCACAGGGAGTCACAGATTCTTTTTGCCTTATCTTTGCTAAACATAACCAGCAACAACTCAGACACAACTTTTTTTCTTCTCCTTCAAGGACTGCACAAATTTTCTGTGACCTGAATGCTCCTTCCTTTGTGTCTTTCAGGTGTGGAACGAGAAAGCTGCCAAAAATGCTCTGAAATGGGCAAACACATGTGAAATGCAAATCAGCCCAGTGCAGAACAGAGTTGTTAATGGTATGGGAAGAACATGAGGACTAAACTTACGGGTTAATGATGACTTGCAGAAAGCATATCTACATGAACTAGAAATAAGGATAAACTTTAATCTGCTTTTTATCTTTTGAGGATTCTTAATCGTGAAAATGTCATCTTTGTCAGAGAAAGACCCCAAAAGACAAACTGTTGGAGCCCGAGAGAGAGGGCAAGCTATGAACTGATCCTGTTCTTGTACCTTTCTTTAACTATTCTCTCTCAGTTCCTGCTGGAGACAAGTCAGTAGGATAGAGAAGTGTTGGTCTGACTAAGTACACATATTTTTGTGTCACATTTTGTAGTCAAATAACCATCCGAGACTGAAAGGTCACTGATATCAGAATAACACACCTTGCCAGGATCAAGTGTACTACACTCCAGGGGTTGTAGAGTGCTAATGCCATAAAAAATCGCCATTCCCTCTGTCATGCCTCCCATCCTACAACTTTCTTCACTCCTGTGTAATAAAATAGACATACTTCTACTTCAGGTATCACCTGCGGTGAGAATATCTTGCAGTCATCTCAACCAAAAACATGGGCTGAAGCAATCAAAGTCTGGCACAGTCAGGCCGCCAATTTCAAGTACGGTTTTGGAGCGACTACGAAGAGCGCCAACGTCAAGAACTACGCTCAGGTATGGGGAAATGAAGTGAACTGCAGTGATACACTAGAATCACACATGTACAGTTAGGGTTGCTGAGGGGTGTTTATTATCAGGAAAAGAAAAAAAAAAAAAACAACAAAATCAGTGCCATCAAACTGTTATCTTTTATGCTCTCATCCAAAGATGACTGAAAAAGTCTTTTCTCATTTACATCTGAGACAATGGAACCAATATCTAAAAGAGCTGCCCGGAAGAGAGGCAACCTGTAGAAAACATAAATGATAATGCAGCCACACAAATAAATAAATAAATGATAACGATGCAATATTTTTCATTAGTAAATAATGGAAAAAACATTAAAATATATACATATGGACAATGAAATGCCAAAGGAAAAGAGCTATGATGAAGCCATTCAAGTTGAAATTTCTATTATTCTCCCAAAATTGTGTCCAAAACATTTGGAAACCAGAAGACATCACTAATTCATTTTCCTATTTGTTCCTCCTGACAGCTAACTTGCAAACATAACAGAGAGTGAAAATGAATAAATAAATGAATAAATCTATCTTCTGATTTAAAACGTAGTGTGAAATACATTTGAAATACAATTTCTGACATGACTTCACTGTTTTTTATTCTACAGCTAGTGTGGTACAACAGCTACCAGGTTGGGTGTGCAGTTGCCTACTGCCCAAGGAACCAGTACAACTACTTCTATGTTTGCCACTACTGTCCTCCGTACGTACTGCTTTTTGGTTCTCTTGAGATGTTCTAGACATGGTTTTAGAAAGTCCTGCAGTCTGTTGAGCATGTGTAGGATCAGTTGCCTCCAGTTTGTTTTGGCCATTTGGAATTTTGAAAAACGCCGATGTGAATTGTTGCTTTAACATCTAGTTGAGTATAAATGTTTAGTGTTATCCATGTTAAAACTGGAAGTAGGGAAATATTAGCATATGAATGAAGATAGAAAGGTCTGTGTAAGGGTCAGGCATCAAACACGAGTCATCCTGTAACTCTGAACACAAAGAAGATAGTCAGACACAAGCGAAAGCCAACAGCAAACGAATATTCACAGAAGAAAAGCAAATCTCTAACACCTGCATGTCAGAAGGTTGCTGCCAAGATAATATCCTTATGTGCTGGAAAGCCATTAGAAAAGCAGAACAAGGAAGCATGTAATTTTTTAAACTGGTAATGCTATACAAAGGCAAAAAGCCAATTAGTTTTCTTTCCCTAAATGCCTCCCGTTTAAAAACAAAGATCTGGTATTCTACAAATAGCCCAAACTCAAACAGAATAATCATTTTACCCAAAACTTGTTGTTGTCTTTCATTGTGATGAAAAAAAGTAAGCTGTCAGTGGCTCAGAGCTGCACTTTGATCTCCTGGTGTTCATTTCTTTAATATTTCAGAGGGAATAACATCATGCAAGTGGCTGCACCTTACAAGAAAGGACCCAGATGTGCAGACTGTCCCGGCCACTGTGAGAGAGGGCTTTGCAGTAAGTGCACGTACTTTCCTCCTTAAAACAAACTGTTGTGCTGCCTCATGTAATGACTTCACTCCCTTATAGTATGTCCCTCCATACCTAACCTTTTATTACCTTCATGCAACCTTTGGCAGGAAAGATGTCACAGAACCACCCCTTAATTTACCTCCACCTAACATAACAGTGGTTAAGCAACTACTGACAGGGCGTGAGCAGGGACTGGAAGCAGATGATCTCCAGGGGACCCTTCAAACCCCCTCACCCACCGTATTCGGTGCACGGCGTTGCTGCAAAGATGTGCACGATTAGATTGACAGTCTTCTGCTGCCCTCTGCAGGGAAGCTCCGGTGTCACAGTGTCAGGATGTGCTTCTCCATCCAAGGGCACGTCTGAATTGTCAGCTTTCACGTGTGTCCCTATGGACATAAAGATCTCCACCTGCCCCTGGCTGTTGTAGAATTCCATGTGAAGCAACTCAACTGTTTTTCTGTCTGCTTCCCCTTCTATGAGCAATTTTATTCTTATATACTCAGTTCTTACTAAGTATTCTTATATATTTATATGCTTATATATTCAAGCAATTTTATCAGCTGAGCACGGAACTATAGAATACCAAGGTCAGAAAAGAGCTCCATGATCATCTAGTCCAACCACCCGCCAATATTTCCCCAACAAATGTACAAAGACTGCTTAGACAAGAAAACAAATGCAAAAACAAAAACAAACAAACAAGCAAACAAAAAAAGCACTTTGTAAAATGCAGAAGTATCACAGTAGGACTGTTGTTTTTTTTTTTCAATTAATACATTTCGTGGCCTTTCTCTGTCTGTTCTGTTTCAGCCAATCCTTGCAGACATCGAGATGCATTTCCAAACTGCAGAAATATGGAAAGCTTGTTTGGCTGTAAACATTCAGTGGTGAAAAAGAAGTGTCCTGCCACCTGTAAGTGCACCACTCAGATTGTATAAAGGCCTGGAGGATATCACTGCAGCTGCTTTGGAACTTATGTATGAGGAAAGAGTAGAACTGGGAAGAAAAAAACATTCATGCTCAGTGTTTCAGCTCAGATTGACCTGAATGTAACTTGTTTATGAAATCACATAATTGTTTCAGTTCCAAATTAATCTGGTGGCTCAGGTAGACTCTGATGTTATGTTAGGCTTTATAAAAATCATGATTAAGCTATTAATGTGGTTTTCAATTTTTTGGTGGAAGTTCCACTGATTCATATTATTTTAATGGGAAACACACTTTTAAAACATGAAAATACATGTTAAATTCCACTTAACTTTCTTCTGTTACCTTTTCTTCAATTATAAATGGAATATATTCCTGGCTAAATAAATGTATGTTCACAAACAAGAAAAGTTGTTTATATATTTTTTTTTTATTTGGAAAGTTTCTCATGGATACTTCAAGGATCTGTGATACTTCATGCAAGTGAGGATGAAACTGGAAAAGAAAAGCAGAGCCAAAAGTCATGCACTGTTTTGTACAGAAAAGATAAGAGGTGTACAGTGATTGTGACCTAAACACAAATCTTCTGACACACAGAATCACATCTAGGGTAGGAAGGCCCTACGGAGGGGTCTGTATGGGTTGGGTCAATGGGCTTAGGCTGGTGGGTTGAAGTACAAGAAGACAAAGGGCCTGGTGTTGTATTTGGTCACAACAATCTCTAGCAGTTATAAAGGCTTGGGACAGAGTGGCTGGAAAGCTGAGTGAAGGAGATGGACATGGGGGTGTTGGTCAATGCTTGGCTGAACAAGAGCCAGCACTGTGCCAGGTGGCCAAAAAGGCCAAAGGCATCCTGGGTTGTATGAGAAATAGCAAAGCCAGCAAGAGCAGGGACGTGATCATCCCCTATACTTGGCACTGGTGAGGCTAAACATTGAGTTCTGCATTCAGAGTTGGGGCCCTCACTACAGGAAAGACATTGAAGCCCTGGAGCACGTCCAGAGAAGGGCAATGAAGCTGTGAGGGGTCTGGAGCACAAGTGTTATGGGGAGCAGCTGAGGGAACTGGGGTTATTCAGGCTGGAGAAGAGGAGGCTCAGGGGAGACCTCACTGCACTCTACAACTGCCTGAAAGGAGATTGTGGCGAGGTGGGGTCAGCATCAGCTCCCGTGTAACTAGCAGTAGGATGAGAGGTGAGGACAAAAAGTGAAGCCAGGGTGGGTTCAGGTTAGATATTAGGAAAGATTTCTTCTCAGAAAAAGTGGTCAGGCATCGGAACAGACTGTCCAGGGAGGTGTGGAGGCACCATCCGTGGAGGTGTTTAAGGAAAGGGTACATGCAATACGTAGGGACATGGTTCAGTGGGTAATACTGATGGTAGGTGGGCAGTTGGACTAGCTAACCTTAGAGGTCTTTCTCAACCTCAGTGATTTTATAATTCTATGATCTGTGCATTGAAGTGATAAATGCATTTTCTCCAGAACTGCCCAGGTAACAGCACTAATTTCTATCAAAGCACACCTCTGTACCTCTTCCAGTAAATTCAGCTACAGGCCTTGGATGTGCCTTCTCCTTCCCATATTTGCATGCAGACCATCAAGTATCACCTAAGGGGGAGTTTAGCTGGATCTGCTGTACTTGGTCTTAGGGCCATGATCATTCTTGTATTGCTTCTAATCTTACATTTACTTGCATAAGATGCTGGTGATATTATTATTACCTATCAGGTCTTTAGTCTTTGCATTGTTTCTGTGTGTGCAGAGTTGCTGAGCATTTGACACCACTGTATCAGAACAATATGACTCTCTTGCTGGCATTCCTGCAGTGGGTGCAGTTCAAAGAGATCATAGAATCATAGAATGATTCAGGTGGAAGGGACCTCAAAGACCATCCAGTCCCATGGGCAGGTTTGCAAACTATCAGATCAGGCAGTAGATCCCAGAGTCCCATCCAGCCTGGCCTTGGGCTGGGAACCCACAGCTCCCTGGACAGCCTGTTCATGGGTTGTTTTCATGATAACCAAATAAACTGCCTTCTCTTCATTCATTTTTTGGCTGGAAAGCTGCCTTATGGAAAGGGACCTTGGTGTACTGATGGACAGTTGGCTGAATATGAGCCAGCTGTGTGCCCAGGTGGCCAAGAAGGCCAATGGCATCCTGGCTTGGATCAGGAATGGTGTGCTGAGCAGGACTAAGGAAGTCATATTGCCCTGTAGTCAGCACTGGTGAGGCCTCACCTCAAGTGCTGTGGTCAGTTTTTGGCAACTCAATACAGAAAGGAGATGGAGGTGCTGGAGCAGGTCCAAAGAAGGGCAGCAAGGCTGAGGAAGGGCTTGGAGTATATGCCCTACAAGTAGAGACTGAAAGAACTGGGGCTGTTTGGTCTGGGAAAAAGGAGGCTGAGGGGAGACCTTACTGCTCTCTCCCAATACCTGAAAGGTGATTGCAGTGAGAGCTGGATTGGTCTCTTCTCACTGGTGACAGAACAAGGGGAAATGGCCTCAAGTTGTGCCAGCGTAAGTTTAGGTTGGATATCAGGGAAAATGTCTTCACAGAAAGGGTTGTTAAGTACTGCCATGGGCTGCCCAGGGAGGTGGTTGAGTCACCATCCCTGGATGTGTTTAAAAACTGTTTGGATGTGGTGCTCAGGGCCATGATTTAGCGGAGGGCTGGTAGAGTTAGGGTAGGATGTTTAGGTTGTGGTTGGACTTGGTGATCTTTAAGGTCTTTTCCAACCTGAGTGATTCTATGAGTCTATGATTTTTCAGCTTTATTTTCCTGCTCTGCCCCTTAACCTTCGAGCACTTGGGTTAAATTACACCAGCAAGATGAATGTGAAACAAAAAGTGAATTTGTCCTCATATCCGATACATATCCCCTCCCCTGAATTATTTTTCTAACGTTAATGAAAAGGTAGACACAGAGTTTATAAACTTTGACAGAGATTATAAGAAATGCAAACAGCTGCAAACAGCACTTCTCTGAAGAAAGAGGCTCCACTCTCAAGCCTCTGCAGAGCAAACAAAACATCCCAGCTCTGTGCAGGATGCCCCGCAGTGTCCTCAGGTACTGAGTCTTGTACGCCAGCCCCGAGCAGGACTGACATCTCTTACCACATCCCCTCGCCATTTTAGACCAGCAAAAATCATTCATTCGATAGGACTGCAATTCTGGTTCAGAGCACAAGAGGGTGAACTATGCCCAGACATTCACCTCGATCGGGTTTTCACATTGCTACCAGTAGGGAGATCTTTTACTAGAAACAGAAGTTCTGAGCCTGCTCCAATTGTTCTTAATAGTAATCTGTGCAGCGTTTATTAGTTAACTCTTGATGAATAAATAATCACTTCATATAAAATCAGTTTGGTAGTGGTTAATTCCCCTTCACTGTTTCATCGCATCTCTGTTGGCCAAATGACTTTCCTGTCAAAGCCATTTGTTCTATGAAATTAAAGCAATGTTTTGATTTCCAATACATCAGTGCTAGTTCCAGCAGCCTCGATCATTTCTTCCATCCCTCTCTCTCCGACTCAACAAACATTTAATGATGAGAGAATTCTGTGAGACCTCTCTCCTCAAAGGGAGTTTTTGTGCTCTGAATAGCCAACTATGCCATTGGAGCAAGGCAGCAGAGCTCACCTGCACCACAAAGTGCTGAGCTGGGGCAACACACAGCCTACAGGGCTGAACGGCACATGGGCATCCTGCAGCCTACAGGGCTACTGAATGACATATGGGCATCATCCTTCTTCTCATAGCTAATTTCAAAAGATTTCGGTTCCCTACTGATATGGAAGAGGAAAATAGCAGGTGAGATGGAATGCTACCTGGATTATCAAGACTGCAAGGAGAGTGTGGGACACTGGCTGGCACTTGGCTGTTCATGTCCCTAGGAAGGCTGAGATGTTTCTGAATGGTGAATAATCAGTTTCCCATAGACAGGTGAGTCCATGATTCTATGACTGATTCTCAGTGAAATAAAAACAATGTGACAACTGAGCTCTAGTAATACTGCTTTTCTCCCTTCTCAGACTATATTCACAAACTTATTTTGATAGTAATGCCACGAATGTTTTTTCCTTTTTGGTACTAGCATAGGTTTCTCACTATCTACTGAAATTATACTGTCAGGACTCTGATACTTTTGAGATGTAGTTCAGCAGAGAAACTAATAATACCAAGAGCTTCTTACTGTTTCTGTTTGGCTCCAAACATCCTCACAAGAAGCACATATGCTGAGAGATGATAAGAGCAGCTACTATGGTACAAGTCTTATCTGTGGAGAATGGGGTAAAAGCTCCTAAGTAGCTCACTTAGGTGGCAAAGACATTAGGCACAGTTTTGAACAAAAACTAAGTAACATTTAATGGTCTCATGGCTTGTAAAGAAGGAACACTTTTGATATTTACAATAAGTCACCTGCAGCCATCATGTTATCTACTTTCTTGAGAATCAACTTCAGAGCTAAGGAAAATGAAAGATGTTTCACTTCCAGTGTCCAAAGTCTTTGCTGAGAGCTCTGGGCCTAAGTTTTCAATATTTTTCTCTATCTATCAGTCAGATAGAGAGAATAACCATGCCATGAATTTTACCTCATTCATGCCCTTAATGTATCAAACCTATAATAGCAGCAAGTTTGAGCAGCTAAAGGTAAGACTTTCTACTGAATGGAAAACAAGGTTTGGAAAGACTGGGGGGTCTTTCATTTCAAAATGCTATCCAGAAATTTGCTGACATCATTGGGTAAAAACAGATCACAGAGACTGTCCTTCCACTGTTCAGAAAAAGCATGAATTGCACGTTTCCACTGCATGATTAACTTTTAGATAGACATTCACAGGTGAAATGTGCACCACTCCAGCTTGGTAACTTTACATTCCCCAGAGCAGCATCATTCCTTCAGTCCCATCAAAAACACATGTTTCTGGTGTTGCAAGATGGGTCACTTGATGGGAATAAATCATCAGGTGACCTGATGATAATATGTAAATGAATACATGGAATCTTATGGA